TTGTACGTTGTCTTTTTTTTTTTTTTTTTTTTTTTTTTTTTAAGTTTGGTTTCTTTCATAAATTGAAAGGGACATTTATGAAAGGATGCGATAAAAGGAGAATAAGATTCCTTTTAAGAGGATCTCGAGACAATTCGAATTGGCTTTCCTTTTTATCTCTTTATTTCTTCTCTTTTATAATGCCTTCCTTTTAGCATACGCCAATTTTCTAATTTATATAATGATTAATCCGTGTGGAAATATTTCTTCTATTACGAATATTTGGCTCATGAACGAACGAATCGATCTTGTTGAACTCTGTGTTATTCCGTTTATATTTCGTGTATGTAACATTCGTCGTTGCATAACTCTTTTCGTTAATTTGGCAAGAATATTGAAAACCTAACCAGCAATCGATTAATCGAACGATATCGTTGTTTTTAAACTGTTCTTTCATTCTACCATAGAATCTCGTTCGTTATTTATTCAACGCGAAATTCATCGTATTTCAGCATTGATCCTCCCCCAGAACTTCTGGTCTAAGAAACGAGAAAATATGAAAACAGACAATATGATTAATTACCTCTTTCGTTGCGCACACCTCGATTTTTCCTCCTCTTCTTCTTTTTGCCTCGCACAATTAGCAAGCTTCTACCGTACAGAAATTAACTATCACCGCTATTATACGATAACCGGTCGATCGATAAAAATTCGCCCCTTTTCCACAGTTAATTTTCCACGTTAACGTTAGCAGGCTGGAGCCTGTTTACACGCTTGCTTATCGGGAACGATAACGTTTCGAAAAAAAAAAAAAAAAAAGAAAAAAGAAAAAAAAGAAAGAAGTTAGTCCTCCTCCTCCTCCTCCTCCAAGAACCGATTCAGACGCGCTCCTCTTTTCGCGCTCGGTTCTTTTCACACGGGAAATTTAATTTCCTCCCTCCGTTGAGATAAAGAAACCGTAAGAGGGGAGGGAAGGAGAAGAAGCAACCGACTGATAGAAAACGTGGTGTCTGGCTATGGAACGAAACGATCCGTATACATGGAAGTGAAGGTTGTCGCCCTGTGAGAATCGGGAACGACTATGTTTTACCTTGAACAGCTACTTGGAAAAGGGAAGGAAGGAGAGAGGGGGGAGGGAGATAGGGTGAGAAAAGGGACAAGACAGGATGAGAGAGAATTGTGCGCGTGCATACCGGGTGTTCTGAAAGGTTAAGGTCGAACAGGTCGACTTTTGAAGATGGCTGGTTGTGCTGGATAGTGCTCGTGAAGATAAGGGAGAAATTTATAATAAACGTGGGGGCCAAATGGCATTTTGCTTCCTGTTCGCTCGGTGTAACGATACTCTTTTCCCTTCTACTTTATCCCCTTCTCACTTCCATTTTCTTTTTTCTTCTCTTACTTCGAATTATAAACGAGAAATTTTGCAAATTTGATATTTAAGTCGTGGAAGAAGTTGAATTAAATCCAATTTCGAGGAATATCGGATCGGTCCCTAAAACGCTAAAATAGAATTATTTTTATGAATCTATCGTCGACGAATTTATCGTCTCTTCTGTGTCTATATGGAATACAATTTTTCGATACAATTCGTACAATTTTTCATCAACTGTATACCAACATAATCTTAAATTATTTAAAACAATATTTTCGACTCGTTTCGATAAGCACCTACTCTTGAAATTTCCGCACACCCGGTACACGTGTCACGCGCGACGATTTCATCGACGTCGAGGTCGGCGTCGTCGGCCGTGTTCCATCGATTCAAAGGCATTTCCGCGCGATGTGAGCACCCTTTCGACCGCACCTGTGGATTTGGCCGCTCTGCTCGTCGATGTTTAAGATAACGCTCCACCTTGGATGAACGTCTTTGAGCTTGGATGATGGGGGGGAAAAAAGGGAGAGCCACGTGGGAGGATAAATTACAAAGATTTTCCATTTTCCATTACTCTCGATCGAGATGCAGTTTATGCGAAACAATCGCCATATTTTTTTCGTAAAAGGAAGGAAACTGCTCTGTATACGAATCATTAATGCGCAAATTTTCGTCAAAATCAGGATTTATGCCGCTTTAACAGCAACTTGTCGATTCTTCAACGTTTCAAACTATTATGGAACTTTTCCAAAATTTCCACGCGGTGTGAACAGATTGGCACGTTGACAGCCCATTAAATATTTAACAAGTTACTCAGCCTGATGTATATAGATAA